AAATCCACCAAAATATCTAGAAGGAAACTTATGGCCCTTAGGTTGACAAGGACCCATTTCCAAATATATTCTTCGAATTTGATCTTGAATATTAGGATCATAATCTGAAATTCGAGGTCTTAAGCCTGGATCCGTAAGAAGACCTCACAAATCAACATCCACATTTTTACTTGAATCACCAATATTTTCCTTTTGTTAAAATGATGAGATCATTATTGACTTTCTTTTGAAATATCTCTCCATACTATTTCAAAACAATAATATATTATTACTTAATAGAGAAAAATACAACAAAACAAGCTATGCACTCAGTAAAACCAAACAATAACAATAATCTATGTATACAATAATAATTATTAAGATAAGTGAAATTACAACTACTATAAAAATTTATAAAGCTAATAAGTTAAAGTATTCTAACAATACATACACATCACAACTCACAAGTATATCTCTTTCTTTTCCTAATTTGTAAGTACTTTAACAAAAATTAAATTAAAGTAATAGAAATTGAATTGAAATAGATCTTAATGTAATATTTTTTTTTAAATATATCTTATATACTTGGCTAAAATTCAATTGATATGTGTAAAAAATCTATTCAAATACCAATCACTTGTATAATTAAATCCACTTTTTTATAACATTGTAAAACAATTAAAATTAACTCTCATTTGAATCAAACACTTTTTTATAACAAATATAAAAAGGGTAAAATAATGTAGTCCCAGAATGAAGAACCCATCTTCTCCATAAAAAAAAACAACACAAATATGTCATTGGCTAACTCCAAAATCCATTTGAATCAAACACTTTATATAACAAAGATAAAAATGGGTAAACAATATGTTCCAAAACTCATCCTCTCCATTAAAAAAAACATAAATTTGGTTATAATTGTAAAACAATGTGGTCTCAAACAACTCCAAAATTCATTTGAATCAAACCTTTTATATAACAAAGATAAAAATTAGTAAAACAATGTGGTCCCAAGAACTCATCTTCTCCATATAAAAAACAAAAAAAAGGGCAATATGGAATGGGTAAAACAATTGGTCCCAAGGCCAACTCCAAATAATTTTTAAAAACTATCTTCTTACTTCTCTTAACTTCAATATATCATTACAAATAATAAAAATGGATGCAATTTGTGGTCCAATGACAATTTTATCTTCCTAAATCCTAATCTATAATTTAATCTTAAACTTTTAAAATAAAATAATACAACAAAAATGTATTACCTGGAAAATTGAAGAAAAAAGGGACTTGTTGGCTTGATAGGAGAGAAAATTATACTTGTGTGGATAAACCTTAAAGGAAAAGAATTGACTTTATATATTATTGAAGAGGAAGAAGACGTCTGAGGGAAGGAGAATGATGAGTTTTACTTTTAGCAGGAGAAAAAGGGTTTACTTTTAGTTTCACAGCCCCCAAAACAAAAAAAATGTATTTATTGGGTATAATAATATACGCAACTTTTGATATTTTAATTTTATATAGGGTTATTTGTAAAACATAGCACAAATTTTTAAAAGTCAGGAGGTCAATTGAACCACTCCCACCCCCCTTCTAGTGGAACACTACTGTTCGTCAGAGCTGTGTTATCTCTTGAGATCATGACGTAATGGTAAACCTTAGGTTTAACTGTCAGTTACCCATGATTGAAGAGATAATTATTATAATTCAATTTGAATAAAAACACCTAGAACAAAGAATCCAAAACAAATCAGAAAACCTCAAAAACGAGCAACATTTTAAAACAAAAAACCAACGACGATAGAAGAAACGCAAGTACAAAAAAGAAAAAAAACAAGAACCCAGAATCAGATGAAAACAACACGAGAATCATATCCGTACTTCACGGTGGTGTTCTAAATCGCCTCAATTAAAAAACGATACATTTTCAGTCGTTTGTTAATCTAAGAAGCACTTGTACCAAATGTATATAAAAAAAATTGTCAAAGAAATACTCACATTAAATACGTGAAAGCAAGTAGTACACAATTATTATATTAATCATGATCAAAACGATCATAGCAAGTGTTAGGGCAAAAAATCGTCTTGGGCTTAACGGGGTCCAATAACGAAATAAACATGTCACGGCCCAAGGCCTCAACCCAATCCGATTAGGCCTATGCTTAAAATCACTTGTGAACTACCCACTTTATGAGTTGGGCTATCCTATAAGTTAAAGCTAAACTGGGTTCAGCCCATTAGCCTGCAACAGAGTATAAATAGGAAATCAGATTCTCATTCTATTTCTCTTCTACTAAGATTTCAAATCTTACTCAAACTATTAACTTGATCTGATAAGGTCAAGAAATCATATCTCTTTCATGATAGGGTTATCTCCCAAAATAGGCTTAGCGTCCTACTAAGATTCCAACTCTTATTTAAACTATTAAACTTAATCTGATAAGGTTAAGAAATCATATCTCTTTATGATAGGGATTATCTCCCAAAAGAGGACTCAATATCCTACTAGGATTCCAACCCCTTGGGTTCACTATAAAACAGAGGTTTGCCCTCTTATTAAGCATGCAATCTCTCACAGTCAATCTACACTACTCAAAACCATCTATTGCTCCTAAGTTCTTGCTCCCAAGAACCTGACGCCTCTGCCGTAGTCCTAGCCTCCGACAAGACTCCTGTATTCTTCTTCTCCTTAATTCTTATTAAATCTCTTTCAGCCTTGCTGACTGAGCGTCGGAGTGCCTACGGCAAACACCACCTCAGTATTTTCCGGAAGCTTCACGCTTGCCCTTTCATGTGTGTAGGTCTAACGGATGTTAGTGACCTCAACCTCACGGGATCACACCCTATTTTCATGACGGTAGATTTTTTATCTACAGCAAGATATTGGTCCAGTCCAGACATTGTAGGTTATATAATAACTATAATGCCTCAAGTAATTAATCGCAGAAAGAAACAATAATAAGCTTTCGCAACCTACGGTTTCAACTCATCGCGCATGCATTGTTCAATATCAAATAACTATTGTGGTTGAACGTACCCATGTGAAACAACCATTATAGAATAGAATAACTTTAGCTGTCCTCCATCCCCTGGAGAAACAACCAATAAGAACGCCTGGAATCTCAAACTGCTCCAGCTTACTCTTCCAAACCAAATATACATGGTTGATTTGAGTACTTTCCTCTATACCAAAATTCGGACAAAGCCAGTCTTCCGCTAGTCCCAGAGCCTTTCCGATCATTGGACACCTTAGCGGCTTCACCTATTTGGCCCTATACCTCACAAGCTCTTCACAAGCTTCCATTTGGCCATTTAATGGATGAGAGAGGCAATGGGATGGGCCATTCATCGTTGTAAATGTTAGATTTCCAGTTTTCTCTTTATGCAAATTGTATTGTATTAATTCTAAAGGTGGTAGTTTCCTGCCCATATAATCTGCAGTTAATTTGCTGGATGTAGCTAAAAGCTTTCCATGCGAATCTGTAATAGGCAGTGCCTGCAGTGTGGTTTCGTGTGAAAGTGTTTTGGCTACAAGTACTTGTATATGGTTGCCCTTTTTTATCTTTGCCTACTTCCCATGCATGAAGATCTGATAGCTTTTGATTTACAAATTTATATAAATCAAGCATGCTAGTTTCATTAGTTCATCAAAGAAAGTTCACATAACAAGAGACCCCGTACTCAGAGTAACATTAAATAGAAACCACGGAATGACACCAGAACAAGAAGAAATAAACCTCACAAAATTAATGAGACTACACGAGTAACTTTTCACTGAACTTATCAAACAAAAAACAAAGGAGAAACTTACGCAAAATTTTAAAACAGAAACGTTCGAATTTCGATAGTTGTCATATTTCTTGTTAAATTGAGAGGCAAATTGCTAATAATTATAAGTCTCACACTTTAATTGAGTAAACATGTGTTTAGATAAATTAAAGGATACACATCATCTGGAATGTGGATTCCCGAAAGCGAAAGTGTGTGTGTAAATGACTTATTTATTAAACATCAACTAAATAATATATATTGATGAGAAGAAAACTTTGTCGTTTTCAGTTTATAACTCTTATTTATTTTTTCCGTTAGCTAATACCTAATTTTCCGTGTAAAGTCTGAAATTCCCTTCACAATTTTTTTTTTAAAAAGAATATTAAAAGTAGGATTTTCAAAAAAAAAATTCGTGGAGCTGCACAGTGAACCGATAAAATCGGTAACAAACTAGGCTTGCCACCCCGAAATAAGAGTTTAGGCTAACTAGCTTATAAGCCCTAGATTATTACATTAAGCCCAAAATCAAAACAAACAATATCTAATTATCTACTGTATTAGGTTGGAATGGTAATAGCAGTAATTTGTTAAGTTTGTCTTACATTATTTAATAATTGCTTAAATGACATCGGGCACAAAACATAAACTACAAGTAAAGATTTCCTTATTATTTGCTTAAGATCCTGTACGTTGCTTGGCCGGCAAATGACATTGCGGTTTATGGCAGCTATGGAAATGTCAAAGTGACTGGTCAAAGTTCCGTTTGTACCCTGCCAGCCACTTGTTGCAAAGACCAAATGCTAGTGTTCAAAACTGTAAACATGACGTGATATTAATGGAATTAAGACATAATACTAAAATAAAAGCTTACCCAATTAGCATACAAATAAGATAAGACAAGGAACAAAACATAAAATAAGATGCATAGCATAAATTGCATACATATATTATCACTCATCCAATCTTCGCTCCCAAGTAGCCTGAATTGAAGGCAGAAAGACAATAACCAAAGTCAATAACTATGTTGTCAAACTTTCTTATGAATTATCTATATTTCTTGAAACCAGAAAAAGTTCAAATCTTAATTTGGCAATATTGACAGGCAGCTTTCAGACTAGTACTATCAATGGTTGTAGTCATTGCTGAAGCCCCAGGCTACAAGGCAAAGAAATGCTCAGCGAATCTAATTCAAAATTCAGTTGTAAGAAACACACAGAATCTTTCTGCCGTCTCCATAGTTTCAACCCTCCTTGCCCTTATATAAACAGCTTTCTGAAAATTGAAAGCAATAGCTTAATCAGTATTACTGTCGCTAATTAAGATCCTCCATGGCCGATTATCAAGGCTACTTCATACTTTTCTTCGTTTGGCTGGTCTCCGTGATTTTGGTCAAAGCAATCTTGAGAAAAACCAAGACCACGTATCGTCTTCCACCAAGCCCGCTGGCCTTACCAATCATTGGACATCTACACCTTCTTGGTCCAATACCTCACCAAGCTTTTCACAAGCTTTCAACTCGCTATGGACCATTAATTCATCTGTTCCTTGGTTCTGTCCCTTGTGTTGTTGCTTCCTCCCCTGAAATAGCTAAAGAGTTTCTCAAAACACATGAATTTTCTTTCCTTGACCGTCCATGCATAGCTGCTGTTGACTATCTCACATATGGCTCAGCTGATTTCTCATTTACTCCTTACGGACCTTACTGGAAGTTCATGAAGAAAGTATGCATGACTGAACTTCTTAGTGGCCCAACTCTTAAAAATTTTCTTCCAGTCAGGTCTGAAGAGATAAAGCAGTTTTTGCAGTTGATGCTAAATAAAGCAAACGCAAGGGAGGCAGCTGATGTTGGACGAGAGCTTATAGGGATGGCAAATCACGTAGTATCCAGAATGACTATGGGCCAAAGATGTTCCAGTAATGAAGAAGAAGCCGATGAGATAAGGAAGTTGGTGCATGATGTTGCTGAGCTTACCGGGAAGTTTAATTTGCAAGATTTTATTTGGTTCTGCAAGAACTTAGATCTGCAGGGGTTTGGGAAAAGGTTGAAGGACGTTCGTGACAAATTTGATAATTTGATGGAGAGAATTATAAAGGAGCATGAAGAGACAAGGAAGATAAATAAGAAAACAGGTGGAGATGAGGCACCGAAGGATTTACTTGACATTCTACTGGACATATCAGAAGATGAGAGCTCAGAAATGAAGTTGACCAGAGAAAACATTAAGTCCTTCATCCTGGTAAGGATCTTTAGCAGCTATGCATGAATTTTTAATATCTAATATCAATCTCTTCCTGATTAACTGGTAAATAATTGAGTGGAAGTAATCTACCTAAAGCTCTATTACTTGAATGCAAACAGAATTAAAATGGGCAAACATGCACGGTTACCAATCCAATCCTTCTTGAGCATAAGTCCAGATAAGGTGCCGATACTGTTAAATTAGTAGTCTCTCAACGTTGCATAATGGTAGTTAGGTATTTGACGGACTATTAAAACACTATTTTAAGTTTGGAATGAATTAAATAATCATAAATTTTCATTGCTTAAGCGATTTGAACATATTGCTTAAGAGATAAACTTGTAGATAAGCTAACGATTTGAACATATCGTTTAAGAGATAAACTTACATCGCTTAAGCGATAAGTTTATATCACTTAAGTCAATGCTCATTTAGTAAAGAGTTTCAAACTTTATGATTATTTAATTAATTCCAAACTTGAAATAGTATTTTAATTAAATTTTCCATATCTGGATTCTCATATATAACTTGAATTTATTCCTCCCAAGTTCAGGTCAACAATTTACAATTTTTCTTTGACCCAGTCAACTTGCGATGAATGTGACTGTCTAATGTCTGATATGTCAACCATTTCAAACTCTTAACGCATCAATAATTAGAGTTTAAGCAATCTGATGTCTGTTGCCTTATGGAGAATCTTGATGTGAAGCATAAGTATGTCCGCTGTTTTCCGGTGTGAAGAAACATTAATTTACGTTGTCCATTGCATATACCTTCTGTTCTCTAGAGCAGTAGAACTCCCAGGTATTCATAATTATTCAAACTATACTATTTAAAATAAATATCACCAAACAAAATCTAAACAATTTCTGGATTGCACAGGATATTTTTGCAGCTGGGACTGATACATCCGCTATAACGGTAGAATGGGCGCTGTCAGAACTAATCAATCATCCAGAGATAATGAAAAAAGCAAGAGAAGAGATTGATTCTGTAGTAGGAAAGAGCAGACTAGTAGAAGAATCAGACATTGCCAACCTCCCCTACCTCCAAGCTATAGTAAAGGAAACACTAAGGCTTCACCCCACTGGTCCAATGATCGTGAGAGAGTCAACTGAAAACTGCACTATAAATGGTTACGACATTCCAGCAAGGACAAGACTCTTCGTTAACACATGGGCTATAGGTAGAGATCCGAACCACTGGGAGAACCCACTTGAATTCCACCCGGAAAGGTTTGTTGTTGAAGATGGAAAGAGTCAGTTGGATGTTCGAGGACAACATTTTCATCTGTTGCCTTTCGGAAGTGGAAGAAGATCATGCCCTGGAACCTCACTAGCACTGAACGTGGTTCAGGCAACTCTTTCTGCTATGATTCAGTGCTTTGATTGGAAGCTTTCTGGAGGAGTTGTCACTGCTGACATGGAAGAAGGACCTGGACTAACTCTTCCAAGAGCTCATCCTCTAATTTGTGTCCCAGTTACTAGGCTTAATCCACTTCCATTACTCTGATTATTCACGAAAGAATAAGAAACTAGACCTGCTGATCCTTCCTAATTGTGTGGTTCTTTATGCAAACTTCGAAGGAAAAAAATACACAGTATGCTGGAGGAAATTTTTGTACTTGTTAATGTAAGATTTACTTTTGTTTTAAATTTCATATATATTACTGCTTTTGGGGTTTGTTCTCTGGTATATTAAATGCCTTGTCAAATTACCAATATTATAAATTTTTCTCCGTCAAATCCTAGAAAAAAAAAAAAAAAAAAAAATACACTTTTATTGTCTTCAAAAGTTATATAAATAGATAGAACATTTAAAGATAACCATTTCGATACCAATATTCAATCCCAGATTTGCCAAAACAATCTTCTTGTCCTCATACATCTATTAATTATTTCTAAAATAATTTTTTTATACAATTATTATACTAACCTATATTTAACATTAATATGTAATTAACAATCAATCATAATTTAAGGGTATAATTATAATCTAAAATTAATGTAAAAATACATTACTAATTTACAAAGATAGAGAATTTTATTTAGACCTCATTAATTTTAAAAAACAAATACAACCCATATCTTAATACTATTTTTAGTATATTAGGTGAAAAAAAAATCAACACAAAATTCTTCCTCTCCACTAAGCATATAGGTCTGGTGGGCAATTGTCGATGATAACAATTAGGTCACATCAAACTATCAAAGACCAACGCAAAAACTAATGCATATGATATACATTATGTAATTTTCCAACTATCAGAAAATTAACACGCATGCACCGGCACTAGCAGTATAATATTTGTTTAAATATTAGCTGAAATCCCCGTTTACATTGCTCTAAACAAAGTTTTTCAATAACACCTTTAAAATTAGTTTCTGCCATCTCCATGAGCAAACTGCAAACCCTGTTTACTTAAATAAAAGCTTAATTTCATCTCAAATTATATCACTAAGATCAAACATGGCTGACTTTCAAGTCTGCAGCGTTTTCTTCATTTGGGTAGTTTCCATGATTTTGATGAGAGCAATCTTTAGAAAAACCAAGACCAAATCTCTTCTTCCACCAAGCCCATTGGCCCTGCCAATCATTGGACACCTTCACCTCCTCGGCCCCTTACCACACCAAGCTCTTCACAAACTTTCAACTAGCTATGGACCTTTAATTCATATTCGTCTTGGCTCTGTCCGTTGTGTTGTTGCTTCTTCCCCAGAAATAGCTAGAGAGATTATTAAAAACTATGATACTTGTTTATGTGGGCGTCCAAAATCGATTGCTATCAACTACCTTTCATATGGCTTGGATGGTTTCCTTTTTGCTGATTATGGACCTTACTGGAGGTTTCTTAAGAAACTATGTGTGTCTGACCTTCTTGGTGGTAGGACTCTGAACCGGTTTCTTCCAGTCAGATCTGAAGAGGTAAGGCGGTTCATAAACTTTATGCTGAGGAAAGCAAACGAAAGCGAGGCAGTAAATGTTGGAGGAGCGCTAACAAGGCTAACAAATAACGTAATATCTAGAATGACTATGAGTCAAAAGTGTTCGAATAATGAAGAAGAAGACGATGAGGTGAGGAAGTTGGTAAAAGCTGTATTTGAGCTGATCGGGAAGATGAATCTGGCAGATTTTATTTGGTTTTGTAAGAAATTGGATTTGCAGGGATTTGAGAAAAAGGCCAAGGAAGTTCGTGACAAGTTTGACTCCATGATGGAGAGAATTATAAAAGAGCACGAAGAAGCAAGAAGGATAAAAAGAGAAACGGGGGGAGATGACGAAGATGATGCAGTGAAGGATTTCCTTGATATTCTACTAGAGGTAGCAGAAGATGAGAGCTCGGAAATAAAGTTGAGTAGAGAAAACATAAAGTCTTTCATCCTGGTAAGACAGTATTGCTTAATTATTGTTGTATCATCTTTGTTTTCTAATATACTGTAATAAGACATCGATTTATCTATTATTTTCTATAAAGGTCCTCAGTAATTCTAACAACGATTTTTATAATTAAACATGATGATATTGAAATTAGATAATCACAAAAATCAAAGTTTTAGGAATTTTCTTTCTCAATTGCACAGGAAATTTTTTCAGCTGGTACCGACACATCTGCCAGTACTATGGAATGGGCACTGGCAGAGCTAATCAATCACCCAGATGCGATGAAGAAGGCAAGAGAAGAGATAGATCTCGTTGTGGGAAGGAGCAGACTAGTGGAAGAATCAGATATAGCTAATCTTCCTTACCTCCAAGCTATTGTGAAAGAAACGATGAGGCTTCACCCTAATGGCCCACTGATCATGAGAGAGTCGATTGAAAATTGTACTATTCAGGGTTATGAAATTCCAGCAAAGACAAGACTCTTCATTAACGTGTGGGCTATAGGAAGAGACCCAAACCACTGGGAAAACCCACTTGAGTTCCGCCCGGAAAGGTTTCTCGGTGAAGATGAAAAGAAGCAGTTGGATGTTCGAGGACAACATTTTCAGCTTTTGCCTTTTGGTGGTGGAAGAAGAGCGTGTCCTGGAATGTCATTAGCACTGTGTATGATTCACAAAGCAGTTGCTGCTATGATTCAGTGCTTTGAGTGGAAGCTTTCTGATTCTGGAGAAGATGGCACTGTTGATATGGAAGAAGGACCTGGACTAACTCTTCCAAGGGCTCATCCCTTAATTTGTTACCCGGTCACTAGGCTCACTCCATTCCCATCATTCTGATTCATCATAACATATGATATTGTGATAAAATAGAATACTATTTCCTTTTTTACATGTGAAATACTTGGTTCTTATTGTGATATACGCTGATATATTTGATCATGGTGACAAGTATTTTAATTAAATTTTCCATATCTGGATTCTCATATATAACTTGAATTTATTCCTCCCAAGTTCAGGTCAACAATTTACAATTTTTCTTTGACCCAGTCAACTTGCGATGAATGTGACTGTCTAATGTCTGATATGTCAACCATTTCAAACTCTTAACGCATCAATAATTAGAGTTTAAGCAATCTGATGTCTGTTGCCTTATGGAGAATCTTGATGTGAAGCATAAGTATGTCCGCTGTTTTCCAGTATGAAGAAACATTAATTTACGTTGTCCATTGCATATACCTTCTGTTCTCTAGAGCAGTAGAACTCCCAGGTATTCATAATTATTCAAACTATACTATTTAAAATAAATATCACCAAACAAAATCTAAACAATTTCTGGATTGCACAGGATATTTTTGCAGCTGGGACTGATACATCCGCTATAACGGTAGAATGGGCGCTGTCAGAACTAATCAATCATCCAGAGATAATGAAAAAAGCAAGAGAAGAGATTGATTCTGTAGTAGGAAAGAGCAGACTAGTAGAAGAATCAGACATTGCCAACCTCCCCTACCTCCAAGCTATAGTAAAGGAAACACTAAGGCTTCACCCCACTGGTCCAATGATCGTGAGAGAGTCAACTGAAAACTGCACTATAAATGGTTACGACATTCCAGCAAGGACAAGACTCTTCGTTAACACATGGGCTATAGGTAGAGATCCGAACCACTGGGAGAACCCACTTGAATTCCACCCGGAAAGGTTTGTTGTTGAAGATGGAAAGAGTCAGTTGGATGTTCGAGGACAACATTTTCATCTGTTGCCTTTCGGAAGTGGAAGAAGATCATGCCCTGGAACCTCACTAGCACTGAACGTGGTTCAGGCAACTCTTTCTGCTATGATTCAGTGCTTTGATTGGAAGCTTTCTGGAGGAGTTGTCACTGCTGACATGGAAGAAGGACCTGGACTAACTCTTCCAAGAGCTCATCCTCTAATTTGTGTCCCAGTTACTAGGCTTAATCCACTTCCATTACTCTGATTATTCACGAAAGAATAAGAAACTAGACCTGCTGATCCTTCCTAATTGTGTGGTTCTTTATGCAAACTTCGAAGGAAAAAAATACACAGTATGCTGGAGGAAATTTTTGTACTTGTTAATGTAAGATTTACTTTTGTTTTAAATTTCATATATATTACTGCTTTTGGGGTTTGTTCTCTGGTATATTAAATGCCTTGTCAAATTACCAATATTATAAATTTTTCTCCGTCAAATCCTAGAAAAAAAAAAAAAAAAAAAAATACACTTTTATTGTCTTCAAAAGTTATATAAATAGATAGAACATTTAAAGATAACCATTTCGATACCAATATTCAATCCCAGATTTGCCAAAACAATCTTCTTGTCCTCATACATCTATTAATTATTTCTAAAATAATTTTTTTATACAATTATTATACTAACCTATATTTAACATTAATATGTAATTAACAATCAATCATAATTTAAGGGTATAATTATAATCTAAAATTAATGTAAAAATACATTACTAATTTACAAAGATAGAGAATTTTATTTAGACCTCATTAATTTTAAAAAACAAATACAACCCATATCTTAATACTATTTTTAGTATATTAGGTGAAAAAAAAATCAACACAAAATTCTTCCTCTCCACTAAGCATATAGGTCTGGTGGGCAATTGTCGATGATAACAATTAGGTCACATCAAACTATCAAAGACCAACGCAAAAACTAATGCATATGATATACATTATGTAATTTTCCAACTATCAGAAAATTAACACGCATGCACCGGCACTAGCAGTATAATATTTGTTTAAATATTAGCTGAAATCCCCGTTTACATTGCTCTAAACAAAGTTTTTCAATAACACCTTTAAAATTAGTTTCTGCCATCTCCATGAGCAAACTGCAAACCCTGTTTACTTAAATAAAAGCTTAATTTCATCTCAAATTATATCACTAAGATCAAACATGGCTGACTTTCAAGTCTGCAGCGTTTTCTTCATTTGGGTAGTTTCCATGATTTTGATGAGAGCAATCTTTAGAAAAACCAAGACCAAATCTCTTCTTCCACCAAGCCCATTGGCCCTGCCAATCATTGGACACCTTCACCTCCTCGGCCCCTTACCACACCAAGCTCTTCACAAACTTTCAACTAGCTATGGACCTTTAATTCATATTCGTCTTGGCTCTGTCCGTTGTGTTGTTGCTTCTTCCCCAGAAATAGCTAGAGAGATTATTAAAAACTATGATACTTGTTTATGTGGGCGTCCAAAATCGATTGCTATCAACTACCTTTCATATGGCTTGGATGGTTTCCTTTTTGCTGATTATGGACCTTACTGGAGGTTTCTTAAGAAACTATGTGTGTCTGACCTTCTTGGTGGTAGGACTCTGAACCGGTTTCTTCCAGTCAGATCTGAAGAGGTAAGGCGGTTCATAAACTTTATGCTGAGGAAAGCAAACGAAAGCGAGGCAGTAAATGTTGGAGGAGCGCTAACAAGGCTAACAAATAACGTAATATCTAGAATGACTATGAGTCAAAAGTGTTCGAATAATGAAGAAGAAGACGATGAGGTGAGGAAGTTGGTAAAAGCTGTATTTGAGCTGATCGGGAAGATGAATCTGGCAGATTTTATTTGGTTTTGTAAGAAATTGGATTTGCAGGGATTTGAGAAAAAGGCCAAGGAAGTTCGTGACAAGTTTGACTCCATGATGGAGAGAATTATAAAAGAGCACGAAGAAGCAAGAAGGATAAAAAGAGAAACGGGGGGAGATGACGAAGATGATGCAGTGAAGGATTTCCTTGATATTCTACTAGAGGTAGCAGAAGATGAGAGCTCGGAAATAAAGTTGAGTAGAGAAAACATAAAGTCTTTCATCCTGGTAAGACAGTATTGCTTAATTATTGTTGTATCATCTTTGTTTTCTAATATACTGTAATAAGACATCGATTTATCTATTATTCTCTATAAAGGTCCTCAGTAATTCTAACAACGATTTTTATAATTAATCATGATGATATTCAAATTAGATAATCACAAAAATCAAAGTTTTAGGAATTTTCTTTCTCAATTGCACAGGAAATTTTTTCAGCTGGTACCGACACATCTGCCAGTACTATGGAATGGGCACTGGCAGAGCTAATCAATCACCCAGATGCGATGAAGAAGGCAAGAGAAGAGATAGATCTCGTTGTGGGAAGGAGCAGACTAGTGGAAGAATCAGATATAGCTAATCTTCCTTACCTCCAAGCTATTGTGAAAGAAACGATGAGGCTTCACCCTAATGGCCCACTGATCATGAGAGAGTCGATTGAAAATTGTACTATTCAGGGTTATGAAATTCCAGCAAAGACAAGACTCTTCATTAACGTGTGGGCTATAGGAAGAGACCCAAACCACTGGGAAAACCCACTTGAGTTCCGCCCGGAAAGGTTTCTCGGTGAAGATGAAAAGAAGCAGTTGGATGTTCGAGGACAACATTTTCAGCTTTTGCCTTTTGGTGGTGGAAGAAGAGCGTGTCCTGGAATGTCATTAGCACTGTGTATGATTCACAAAGCAGTTGCTGCTATGATTCAGTGCTTTGAGTGGAAGCTTTCTGATTCTGGAGAAGATGGCACTGTTGATATGGAGGAAGGACCTGGACTAACTCTTCCAAGGGCTCATCCCTTAATTTGTTACCCGGTCACTAGGCTCACTCCATTCCCATCATTCTGATTCATCATAACATTTGATATTGTGATAAAATAGAATACTATTTCCTTTTTTACATGTGAAATACTTGGTTCTTATTGTGATATACGCTGATATATTTGATCATGGTGGTCATCTGTTCTCCCACATTTTTTGGGTAACCAACTACAGTATTTTTTCGACGCCAAGACCCTTTTTTTTTTTTTTTTTTTAAAAGAAACGCCATGTTGGGCTTTAGTAACCACTATTCCCTTCTGCAGCTCAAGTTGATATTAGGTAAGCATTATGAATTTATGATCCGTTCCTTAACAAATCATCTAACACGACACCTCACCTAATCCCACCTTTCTTCTAGAGTTGGTATACGAAAAGCCTTTTATAATCAAATTTCTCATTCTCTATTTCTTAATTTAATATACTTGGACAAATTCTACGATATAATACATGAAATATATTATATTTACATAAACAGTGAGGTCTACTAATAAGGTACCATAGAATATTATAAAAATTATTCCACGGATTATACTATCTCTAACCACAAACACCAAATTGGTACAAGTTTTACACCAATTTAGTGTGATTTATGGTATATTTCACTATTGCATCTCCAACTCATTGCATCAAATATTACATCAAAAGGAATATTCTCTTTCTTTTCTTTTTTATGTAATAATCAATGATTAATCTATTTCACTCATTATTTTTATATATATTAATTAAATATTCAAAATGATATTTTTATTAAATATACCAATTTAAAAAATTAAACATTTATTTAATCAAATAAATATTACATTTAATATAGAAAAAGTATTACATCTAATATAAAATGATACAAAAAAAAAAAAAAACAACAACAACACAAAAGTAAAATTTCATATTGATAGTAATTTAATTTTCTGAATTAATATATTATTCACACAAATTCTATATTGATAGTAATTTAATTTTCCAATATTTTGATGATCTTAGAGGATCCGAAACTAATCTACCGGAATACTAAATTGTTATTTTAGTTTATGTTGTACTTTCTTTTAATTTTAGTGTTTTTAAATTATTGTTAATTTTTATTTTGAATAATTGTAGTTTAATATTTGTATTGAAAAAAGTTTTGTTTTTAATTTTTTATCATTTTTTTAATTATATAATTATTAATAAATTTATTATTATAAATATTAATATAAATAATAATCAAATTAACGTAGTTATAAATAAAAAAATATTTTTTATAGTGTTTAAACAATATCACGTATACCAATTTATTATATGAAGTTGGATTGGAGCTTTTTTTTCACACCATTTTGGTCTTTTGACGCTGGGTTGGAGATACTAACCTAACTAAACTTCTTACTCATAATTGAAATTGAATTATGCTTGTAGTTCCTTTCTGGCCAATACAATCATGCGAAGCTCCATGAAGAAAATCAACAAAAATGAGAAGTGGATAAATAGCAAGAGGTGACACGTGGACCCCATGCCCACGTGTCACAGACTCCCAAGCAGTTTTGTTTCCGCCCATTGTTAGTTTTGTACTTTTGTTTATGTTTTAGAAAAGACTAATAATGGCCTTCACTCTCCCTTTTATCCGATGATAGCTTGGCTCCCCCATTGATATTCTTTCAATTATTCTCTTGCTCTCTATCCTTTTGGGTCTAAGCGTTTTTCTTATCTTTGTTATTCTCTCTGCTCTTTTTTTCTGTTCAAATTATCATTTGGTGTCCAATTTTTGGTGTTGTTGGTTCCTAAATTGTAGAGTTTTCATTTTTTAATAAAATCTAATTCATTAGATCTGTCTCTTTATTTCTTGATTATCGTTTTATCGAAGTCTTCGTCAATTAGATCTATGACGTGTTTTTTGTGTTCACTACATAGAAGCATCTGATAAATAATTTTTCATAAATACAGCTTTCGCTATTCATAAGATTTTGAGTTGTAATTTCCTCCGATAATCCACTATTCCTGAATAATCTCATCTGGGTTCCTCTTAAATTCACTTGATTTGATTAAACGAACAAAACTTTCATTGATTTTTGTTATTTTAACCGTGGGGATGGTGACAGTTAATCTGGGAATGCTTCACTATTTAATAGACCACGTATATGGTGCATTTATGCACCGAACAAAGATGAGCACACCTTTTTTTTCAAGAGGGTGGGGAGGCTCAAAGCTTGAACTTTTAGAGAAAATGATCAAGCAATTGTTTCCTGAAGTTGAAGGCCAAATCTGGCCTCCAACCTTGATTCAGCCCATTTGGAGAACAGTTTGGGAGACCAGAACTGCTGTTTTGAGAGAAGGTGTTTTTAGGACTCCTTGTGATGAGCAGTTGATTAGTGCATTGCCTCCTGAGAGTCACAATGCAAGGGTTGCTTTTCTTGCACCTAAATGTGTGCCCCCTCAGAGGATGGCTTGTGTGGTTCATCTTGCAGGTATCGCCACGGTATACTTTTTATTCCTTTTGGAGGCCAATCTTCTTTTTGGTTGAGTTCTTATTAAACAGCTAGGTGATTGAAAGTTTAACATTTTGATGCTTTAGTGGAGAATTTTGTTAGGTGTTTGATTTATGCTTCTGCTTGTTATGTTATAGCATTCTAGATGGATTGGGTTTTATAAAGAATGTTGGGTTGTTTTACAATTCAGTTGAGGATTATATAGTTCCGCATTCTGTTTTATTTTCGGTGGAGAAATGAATTGAGTTAGTCATCTTTGGTTTCTTAATACGCTGTAAAATAGTCTAACTTAGCTCGTTGTTGGTGAATTGTTAACGTTTATGGTGGAGGGTTGGATTTAGAACGATTGGATTCTTTTTTGTGTCGAAGAAGTTTGAAGTTCAGGGTTAGTGTTAGAATCTTTTCCCTTCACACAGGTAGAGTGCTCTGGTTAATTGTGTTGTTCTCTTAAAAGTATTTGTGGAGACCATCTTAGTCTTTGAAGTATGTATTGGTTTGCTTATTTGCAATGTGACAAACCAATCATTGGCTTGTTTCTTAGTTTATCTTGTATCATAATTAACTTTTCAACGTAAATATCATATGTTTCATTATGGATTACCCACCAGCTGTTGATTGTCGAATGATACTATGACCAGATTCAGTATTAGTTGAGAAGTTTTATCAATTCAAATATTTCGAGAGTAGCACATGTTAAAATTAGAAATTTATTTCTGATCTTTTTCATAACAGTTGCTAAATAATTTCTGAGCTTCACATTATGTTGTTAAAATTTAAAATTTTAAGTTGGCCTAATTGAAAATCTGATTTATTTATAATCCCACCAAAACTAGGAATTGTATCGCAAGCTTCTTAATGATGTTTTCAATTGAATCTTACTATTGTTGTGATTTTGACCATCATCCCTCGTCTTTGAATTTCAAGTTGTAATCTTTCATTTGCAGGCACAGGGGACCACACATTTGAGCGGAGATTGCGTCTTGGTGGACCATTGTTGAAGGAAAACATTGCAACCATGGTGCTTGAAAGGTAAGAGTCTATTGTATGTTGCCATATACTTTTAGAAGCCGAAAACTGAGCTTCCAGTTATAAGATTTTGATTTAATGTAAAAATGTAATTGCAGCCCATTCTATGGTCAACGGCGGCCTATGCTGCAAAAAGGCGCAAAACTTTTGTGTGTTAGTGACTTGCTTTTATTAGGAAGAGCTACAATTGAAGAGACACGGAGTCTTTTGCATTGGTTGGACTCTGAGGCAGGGTTTGGCAAGATGGGTGTCTGTGGACTTAGCATGGGTAAGAAAAAGTCATTCTGATCTCTATTTTTTAAATAATTGTAAGTGCTCTTCCTTTAGTTAAATGTTTGTCCCTTTGACAGTTGAAATAAGTTGGTTGCAACCAACTTATGAGTTCAAAGTCGTGAAAGATATTTCAAAGCAGAAAATGTTCGCACCAATGGTGTAATAATTACACAAATCATTTAGTCCAATTACCTTTTCAAAATTTGATGCCTTACTGAATCTAGGAGGAGTACATGCTGCAATGGTTGGAGCACTGCACCCCACACCTGTTGCAACCCTTCCTTTTCTCTCCCCACACTCCGCTGTTGTAGCATTTTGTGAGGGAATATTAAAGCATGGCACTGCATGGGAGGCACTGAGGGAGGATCTTGCAGCTCAGAAGGCTGTAATGACTCTTGAGGAGGTCAGAGAACGGATGAGAAATGTATTGTCTCTCACAGATGTTACACGCTTTCCAATCCCCAAAAACCCCAATGCTGTGATTTTTGTTGCCGCAACTGTAAGTACCATATCTGATTATCATCGTGTAGTCACTTAGAAATGGCCCCCTGACTTCTTTTTCTTGACCAAGTTAGTATCAAATGAAAGTTGGGACTGATCATAAGATCAGTCTTAACCAGTAGGCCCACTCTGTTCAAAATTATTGAGTCAGTGATCTTAATGTATTCAACTAAATAAGGTTTTGTATCTTTTCAACTCTTGATCTTCTACTTTTTTTCTTACCATCAATTCATTCTTCATGCATTTTAGGATGACGGTTACATACCTAAACACTCAGTGCTGGAGCTTCAGAAAGCATGGCCAGGTTCAGAAGTGAGATGGGTCACCGGTGGCCATGTTTCATCCTTCCTTCTCCACAATGGTGAGTTTCGCAAAGCGATTGTGGATGGGCTTGATAGATTACAGTGGAAAGAGTCTCCTCTATGACTGGCATTCATGTGAAGAAGAGACTGTTGATTTTGTTTGGGTATTCTTCTTTCCCCTTAATTCTTTCAGAACTTGTAAAATGAATTATAATTGATATCTGAAAAAACCCCTTTAAAGAATAGGGTAAGGGATATTTTGTTTTGCAAGCTTTACTGTTGGAAAAAATGTAAAATAACTTCACTGACATCAATAATGAATTGACGAAGAAATTTTTTAAACTGTTTGGAAAATATTTAATATGGTTGTACCTTCATTCTTGCTTTGGCCTTTTCCATAAATACTTGAGAAGAAAAGGATGGAAAAAGAATAATGTATTTTACAATTATTATCTTGTGCTGTGGAGACTAGAGAATGACTAGAAGACATCCAAGAAACGAGGATTAGTGACTAGGAATTGCTGCTTATCACGAGCTCTTGAACTATCAAATTATCTTTTGCTATTGGTAGAATCGGGTTTTGTAATGTCAACTGAAAACCAATTGGCAACCAATTAAGAAGGTCAAAGCATTTTAGTATGGCATTCCACGATGTATCCTTTGACATGTTGAAAGAATCATTCACATGAGCCGGGTGCTGTTGTTGCCCCACTACCAAAAATCGGTTTCCCTCATAATCCTCCTACGCATGAAATACAAGTGTTTTTGGTGAAGATGGCAAAACATGATTGTAATAGCTATCAGTTAGAAGCTACTGTTAAAAACAATCTATGGCTTTAGAGCCAAAGTCTGCTTCCAGGTGCAAAGTGTTTGGTTGAAGGTGGCGTCTCTAGAGGTAAGCTTTTGGACTCCAACCGCATGGTCATTAGCCTGTGGAACAGGTTATGCACATTTTCATTAATTTTAGATGATAATACTGATGCAAAGATGATCATATTCTGATAGGAAGTAAAAGCGTTAGGAAAGGTTACAATAGTTCTGAAGTGAATTGTATAATAGAAGTAAAGGGCAAGCATGGATGGTATAAGCTACGCTTGCAAAATCATTGTCAGAGTCAGACTCCATGCGGACCACCAAGGGTGCGTCATTCCCAACTTCGCCAATGCTTTTCTGTAATTTTCAATTGGGTCTAATTTGATTTTGGACCCTTAACCAATCTACTCGAACCCAATAAGAGGACGAGGAATTGACTGCAGAGTTCCGTTTATATCATTTCTACTATTATGAGAAATACACAATGTTTCATATCATACATGATTTTTTTTTACTCCTATTTTTTAATGTCTGGACATAATTTTTGTCAAAAATCTGATAATATATACTTCGATTTTGAACTTTTGAAGCCAATCCGTTTTTTATTTTAATCATTCAACCAATACCCCAAAACAGATCACAATAGTAAATTACTGGAATTGAAAAAAATGGAAGATTGCCCAAGGATGCGAATGGATCCATCGGCCTTTAACTATCAAGCCGTCTGCTTTCCAGTTACTGCACTCACTTGCAGCCTGCAAGCGGCGCGCCACACAAACACTTGTTATGAAAATACGTCGAATTGTCGAAGCTCTGCAACTTCCCTCCTACAGGAATCTGCCCACACAACCTGTTATAACTTACATTAAAGAACTGTAAATCCACTGAAGTCAGTTGCGTTGGAATGCTCCCGAAGATCTTGTTGTGATTCAGGTCCAACGATGTCAAGCTCGTCGGAAACTCAACCTTTGACAGATTAAACGCCAACAGGTTTCTAGAAACGTCCAGTTGCTGAGTTGTCTTGTTTATCCCGAACAAAAACGAAGCATCGCCTTCAAGTTTGTTCCTAGACAAATCAATGACGTTAAAATCCATGTTGCCTAAAGAGGGAGGTATTTTACCAGAGAGCTGGTTGTGTGACAAGTAGAGCGATGGTACTTGGCCATTGAATGCACCAAAAGAGTCTGGGATTGGACCCGTAAGCTTGTTTCTATCCAAATGAAGAGCACCAAGATTTTGCAACTTGGAAAGGGAACTGGGGATTGAGCCAGAAAGATTGTTAAAAGAAAGATCCAAGAATGTTAAGTTGTTGAGTTGGCTAAGGAAGTCTGGTACTGAACCAGACAGATATGTCCAGCTAAGACGTAGAAACTTGAGGTTCTTGAGTTTGACAATGGAGGGTTGTATAGGGCCAGTGAGGTTGGTTAGCTTATGAAACTCTAGAGTTTCAAGGTAAGGAAGATCACCGACTTCAGCAGGGATTTGACCGGGGAGATCTCCGGAGAAGATGGTGAGAGAGTTAATGCGGTTAGTGGTGAGATCACAAGCGACACAGTACCAGTTACAACAGTCTGTATCTGGGTTCCAAGAAGCGAGTATGTAAGGGTTGTTAAGGGCTTTTTTTATCTTGAGAAGAACCTGTTTGTCATTTGGGTTGCAGAGATCAGAGAGAGAAGAGTGGAGGAGGGTGGAGAAGATGAGGAGAGACAACAGTAGGGTACTGTTAGTGTTCATGTTTTGCGTTCAGAAGATAGTTTTGTTTTGATGAGAAAGAGAGATGGACATTTATTTATATAATGTGGCATTGGCAAGACAGCTCCTCAAACACCGTTGAATATTCAGCGCAACTCCAAAATAATGAGCCGAAAAAAATATGTTGACTTTCTAAGGTCAGTGAATGCAACTTGCTAGATCATTTAATTAAGAACCTCTCTTGGAACTCTCATAAGAGAGAAATTTTGGAATCTTCCAATATTTAATGATAAAAACAAAAACAAGATATGATCGGGATTAACAGGAAGTGGACTAGTCAAGAATGAGGTCCACCTCCTTAAAACATTATCTTATGAGCTGGAGTCTTTCAATTTTGTATGTAAGACCTCACGTACACCTCCACTAGTTTTCCCAAAATACAACCTAACTTCCAACACAATTGATCCTCAAAATTAGAAAACTTTGACGTTTTAAGTAATTCCGTTATAGAGATAATATTAGTCAAGTAATTAAACTACACTATTTTAATTAGACTTCTCTTCTAAGGGAGATGAGGTTATCAATTTCCTTTCTTAAAACTGAAATCCAATATGATATATGCTTTCATGCATTAATTTGAGGTTGAAAAAGATGAGTCCGCACCGCACCTAGTTAAGCATTCAGTGGATGAAAGTTGCAACCCATCAAAACATTATTCTAGAAGCAGTAAGTTACAAGCACAAGGAAATACAAGATGCATTTATATTGCCCGCTTTGGGCTTACCACCAACTTAGTAGATTCTACTTAATTAGATCAAGACTTATAAAAATCTAATCCAAGTCTCCGGATAGAATTTTGGCATGAAAAATTTAGCATAATATGTAATATTAATTACGAGGCAACAATAATGAACATGCACAATTTGAAATTTGAATCCTTAGAGAAAAGGGGCGCTCAAGAGAAACTCCGTTGTAGCCTTATCATGAAAAGTTGAGGAAAAATAAAACGAAAAAAAAAAAAAAAAAATTATTGAATCAGTTTGGTTAGTAAATACTTGGAGTGAGAGTAAAAATAGCGATGGGTGATAAACTGTATTCAATCTCTTTGACTGACTATCAACATATAGAACAGTGCAATAGATATTCTAAAGGGCCTTTGACAAGAAAAACGCATAGAAAATTATCGGGCTTTTTAAGGTTCGCCACAAAAATCAGGTATGCGTGATAATTGGTATCTGTGGCCATAATAAGGAGTAAAGTTTGTAGTTTTAAATACAGATGTTCAGATCTATTGATTCATGAATACGTTTCAAACGGGTTATTGGGTCAAATGGTTTTATAGCATAATTTAGATTCAGAAACAAAAGCCCATCCTGTAGAGAATGTTTAAAACTGCAGGATTGATGTCACTAGGATATGAATCTAACCTATAGCTCAGACAAAAAGAGGTAGAGAGTGTTTTTGAGTCAATCAATACTCCCACTTTCCTCGATTCTGAGCCTCAGACAGATTGTTCCCTCTTACACTTACTTTGCCGTAGAAGTTCAGAGCCTCAGAGTGGTTACTTTCATTGTTTTTTGTGCTAAAGTCTATAATCAGCGATGTAGAGGTCAATGTCACCTTAAATTGAATCTATTAGGGTGTAACTATTGTAAATAATGATTAATTGTTAATCTATAGTTAGTTAGTTTTCTAATTACGCTTTCTGTTATAACTAATTCATTATAATAATTGCTATTTATATAGCTGGCTTCTGATTTGTTATAATTAATAAAAGTAGATCATTCTTTCTTCTCTCTCTTCTTCTTCCCGAGCTTAATATGGTATCAGAGCAAATTTGATCCGCTACAAATTTGCTTGTTTTCTTCTTCTTTCGTTGATTGTTCTTGTCTTCTTCAATATGGCGACTCTTTCCTCGAATTCTGGTGATTCCAATTCTGGAAAGCATACCAATTCGAATCATTCCTCCATTGAAGAACCTTCGAATCCCTACTATCTTCATCATTCTGATAGCCCTGGGCAAGTGCTTGTCTCGCAACGGCTCACCGATGATAATTACACCTGCTGGAGTCGCTCGATGTTAATTGCACTATCTGTGAAGAACAAATTGAGATTTGTCAATGGTTCTATTCCTAAGCCTCAAGGTACTGACAATAATCTGCTCAATTCCTGGATTCGCAATAATAATATTGTTATATCTTGGATCCTAAATTCGGTTTCAAAGGAAATTTCTGCCAGTATTATTTTTGCTTCTTCTGCCCGAGAGATTTGGCTAGATCTTAGGGATCGTTTTCAACAGAGGAATGGACCTAGAATTTTTCAGCTTAAACGTGAATTGATGAATTTGCGTCAAGAACAGAGTTCTGTTAGCATTTAATTCACAAAGCTGAAAACTATATGGGAAGAACTGAGTAATTATCGGCCTAATTGTTCTTGTGGAAAGTGCTCTTGTGGTGGAGTTAAAAATCTTAACAATCATCATCAAATGGAGTACATAATGTCCTTCTTAATGGGACTTGATGATTCTTTCTCTCAAGTTCGCGGTCAGTTGCTTCTCATGGATTTGATGCCTCCTATCAATCGTGTTTTCTCTCTGATTGTTCAAGAGGAACAACAAAGGAGGACTAATCCTTCCTCTGATTCAAGCAATTCTACTGGCACAATGGCCTTTGCTGCTAAAACAGATGTTGCTAAGTTTGGTGGATCTAGTTCTCAAAATTCTCAGAATTCTAATTCCAATGCTTCCAAGAATCAGAAAAGAGATAGGCCTTATTGCACGCATTGCAAGATTCTTGGACATACTGTGGATCATTGCTACAAGATCCATGGATATCCTCTTGGATATAAATTCAGATCCAACAACAATTCTAATGCCGCTGCTTATCAAGTTTCTACTTCTGATCATAGATCAGATCAATCTAATTCTTTTGGAGGTTTTGTTCAGAATCTGAACTCCAATCAATATCAGCAGCTAATGTCCATGCTTTCTACACATTTGAGTAGCTCAGCAAAGGTCACCAATGCTCTTGATCCTTCTCAAACCAACTGTCTCACAGGTATTTGCTTCTCTGTGTCTTTGAGTCCTTTGTTTTCATCCAATCAGTTCTGGATTGTAGACTTAGGAGCTACTCAACATATTTGTTCACAAGCCAGCGCCTTTGTTTCCTTGCATTCTATTCATCACACAACAATTACTTTGCTAAACCATTCTCAGATTTTGGTCCATTTTGCTGGTGATGTTAAACTGCATTCTGACCTTGTGCTTAAGGATGTATTATATGTTCCTCAATTCAAATTCAACTTGATCTCAGTCAATGCTTTAGTAACTAGATTTGGCCTTACAGTGAGTTTCCTTCATGACTGCTTTGTTATTCAGGATCTATCCACCAAGAGGATGATTGGCAGGGGTGACAAAGTCTAAGATCTCTATGTTCTTAATGTTCAGTGTTTGAATTCTATTTCCAATGCTTTTGTCAATAATGTTTCTGCTCATATTTGGCATAATAAGCTAGGACATATTTCTTTTAAGAGACTTGATTCTTTGAAAGATAAGTTGAAATGTGATGTAACTAGATTACATAAGTCGGATCCTTGTTATATTTGTCCTCTTGCTAAGCAAAGAAGGTTGGCTTTTGAATCCAATAATCATTTGTCCAAATTTCCTTTTGATCTTGTGCACTGGGATATTTGGGGGCCATATCAAATTGTTTCTTATACTGGTCATCGCTTTTTCTTGACTCTTGCTGATGATTGCACTCGTTTCACTTGGGTTTATTTGTTGAGGAATAAATCTGATGTTGTCTTTGTGATACCGAAGTTTTTCAACATGGTTTCAACTCAGTTTAAGCCAAAATCAAAGTATTTCAATCTAATAATGCACCTGAGTTATCTTTTACTGAGTTTTTTCAAGATAAGGGAGTTTTGCATCGGTTTTCATGTGTTGAAAGGCCTCAACAAAACTCGGTTATGGAGCGAAAACATCAGCACCTCTTGAATGTGGCTCGTCATTGTTTTTTCAATCCAAGATTCCAGTTTCTTTTTGGACAGATTGTGTTCTTATGGCGGCTTTCTTGATTAACAAAACTCCTTCCCCACTATTGAGGCACAACACACCTTTTCATTTGCTATACAAAACAACTCCTGATTACACTCTTTTTTGAGTTTTTGGTTGTTTAGCATTTGTTTCCACCTTAGCTGCTCATCGAACCAAGTTCCAACCTCGTGCTCGAGTTTGTACTTTCCTTGGTTATCCGCCTGGTATGAAAGGTTATAAGTTCTATGATGTGGAGACCAAACAAGTTTTTCTTTCCCGAGATGCTGTGTTTCATGAGGAAGTGTTTCCTTTTCATGCTATTACTAGTTTAGATCAAGTTACTGATCCGTTTCCAGATTTGGTTCTGCCACATTCTTCATTACAAGCTCATTTTATTCCAGATCTTGCTTCTTCACATGTTCATGATCCATTTGTTCCCTCTGGTGTTGCTTCTACTTCAGCAGCTAATATTCCAGTAGATGATATTCTAGCAAATGCTCCTTCTCCTTCTCCATATGGTGGTGTTATTCTTCGCAAATCTACCAGGATGATTCATCAACCTCATTACTTGAAGGATTACCATTGCAATTTACTTGCTGAATCTTCTACTCATGCTTCCACTTTTGCATCTTATCCAATCTCTAACTATATCTCTTATCATGGCCTTTCTGATTCACACAGGCAGTTTGTGCTCAGCGTATCCTCTCAGGTTGAGCCTCAATACTATCACTAAGCCGTGAAGTTTCCTGAATAGAGATTGGCTATGCATGAAGAGTTGAAAGCTATAGAGGCAAATAACACCTGGACCGTCACTCCTCTTCCTCGTGACAAGCATACCATTAGATGCAAATGGATTTATAAGATCAAGCTTAAATCAGATGGATCTATTGAGCAACATAAGGCTCGTTTGGTAGCTAAAGGTTATGCACAACAAGAAGGTTTGGACTTTGTTGAAACTTTTTCTATAGTGGCAAAATTAGTGATTGTAAAGGTTCTTCTTGCTCTTGTTGCCTCACATAATTGGCATCTAGCTCAACTCGATGTCAACAATGCCTTTTTAAATGGCAATCTTTTTGAGGAAGTCTATATGGATCTCCCTCTAGGCTATCTTAGACAAGGGGAGTCCTCTCCATCTCAAGGCAAACTAGTATGCAAGCTTCACAAGTCAATTTATGGTCTCAAGCAAGCTTCGAGACAATGGTATTCAAAATTTTCTCAAGCTTTGATCAAGTTTGGCTTTCTTCAGTCCAAATATGATTATTCTCTCTTCACAAAAGGTCATGGATCCTCTTTTATTGCTCTTCTAGTTTATATACTAGTCCTTCATCTCAAGCTATTGATGAGCACAAACAGTTTCTGCATACACAGTTTAAGCTCAAGGATCTTGGTTGTCTCAAGTACTTCTTTGGTCTTGAGATTGCTAAGTCCAAGCAAGGTATTGCGCTTTCTCAACGCCATTACACCTTACAATTGCTTGAGGACACATGTTACTTGGCTTGTAAACCCACTGCTGTTCCAATGGATCCAAAACTTCATTTAGCTGCCACTGAAGGTGAACTGCTTCCTGATATAACACACTATCGCCGGCTTGTTGGGAAACTTCTTTATCTCACTTTATCTCGCCCAGATATCATTTTTGCAGTTCACAAGCTCACTCAATTCTTGGCTCAACCTCGACTTCCTCATCTCAAGGCAGTGCATCATCTGCTTCGTTACCTCAAGAAAAGTCTTGGTCAAGGGTTGTTGTTTTCTTCTAATTCTTCCTTACAGCTAAAAGCATACTCTGATGCTTGTGTTCCAGTTCGTTTGAAAGCATTCTCTGATGCTGATTGGGGATCATGCCTTGATTCTCGACGCTCTATTACAAGTTTTTGCATCTTTATTGGAGACTCTTTAGTCTCTTGGAAGGCCAAAAAGCAGACCACCGTCTCTCGATCCTCAGCTGAAGCTAAGTATAGAGCTCTTTTCTCTATTGCCAGTGAGCTTATCTGGTTGCAGCAACTTCTTCAAGATCAATTCTCGTGCTTTGCTATATTGTGACAATCAAGCTGCGATACATATTGCCTTTAATCCAACCATTCATGAACGCACTAAGCATATCGAGATAGATTGCCATTTTGTTCGTGAAAGAGTTGCTTTGGGAGTTCTCAAATTGCTGCCCATTAGATCTCAATACAAATTGGCTGACATGTTTACTAAACCCCTCCCATCTACTTAGCTTTTTTCTTTGTTGTCCAAGATGGTTATAAAGGACATTTACAAGCCACCTTGAAGGGGAGTATTAGGGTGTAAATATTGTAAATAATGATTAGTTGTTAATCTATAGATTAGTTAGTTAGTTAGCTTTCTAATTACGCTTTCTGCTATAACTAATTCATTGTAATAGTAGCTATTTATATAGTTGGCTTCTGATTTGTTACAATTAATAAAAGTAGATCATTCTTTCTTCTCTCTCTTCTCCTTAGCTATTCTTCTTCCTGAGCTTAATAGAATCCAAGCCATGTCTTTTATCAAGTTACTTATTACTTTGTGTTAAAAAGTAAAGTGATTTCACTCTATCATGGGTTCAATTCCAACTCCCAAGTCCCAACGTCCACCCTTGAAATCTAAATCTAAATCTAAATCTAATTGCACAGAGAAAAAACTGAGAACAAGATATGATGTAGAACGTCTAGCCGAGTAATCCATGGAGCGGGTTAAGCGTCAGAAGTTTATACGTAAAGCCCAAAAGTCCTAAATAAGCATGTATCATTCAAATGGTCATAACTTTTGATCCAAGGGGAGTTACGTGGCTCGTAAGATATTGACGAAAATCTCTTTTCGAGCCCGAAAATGTGGCAACCCACTTTAGCTAGTTGAAGGCCCTTTTTGAGGTCAAAATCCACTGTTTTGGTGTGTTTTGGGCTATTTTAGTTATCTGTGCGTTTTTCCTATTTTATCTCGGGTTTTCTTGTTTTAATTAATTTAGATTTTGTTTTCTTTTATTATTAGGAGTCTTATTAAGGTTGGTTGTCACCCTAAATAAACTTATTTTTCATTTTGGATGTTATTCAATGAATTATTCAAATTTCATCTCAGACTTTGAGGCTTAAGTTTTTGGATTGAGACTTGTTTATCAACCCTAAATGTATAGTAGAGTGTTATCCTTGTTTTATTACGCTAACTCACTACGCCAGTTGGTATCATAGCCAGGTTAAATTCATCTGATCTAATGGCAAGTGATGAAGTTGTAGGTGACAGCCGTTCTCATGGTGAAGATTGGGGAGCTGAGACCTAGCAAGGGGTGGTTTTGAGAGCTTTGGAGCAATGAATGGATCTCAGATTTTAGTGTTTGGAACGACGCTTTGAAGAAATTGTAGATCAACTTAATGCTTTAAGTGTAGATGCCAATAGAAATAAGAATGACAAAAGGCAACGTACCGAGGATGATTCCGCTCATGGATAACCTATTGGCATACCTGTTTTTGCAAATAGACGTAAACAACAAGTTTACATGGAAGAGTCAAACAAAGAAGATATCTATTATGTAGAAACTGAAAGGAATGTTAGGTATGGCCAAAATCAGTATGGTGACAAAGAACCCAACGAATTCAGATTAAAGGTAGATATCCCTTGCTTTAAGGGAAATTTAGATATTGAGGAATTTTTAGATTGGATGGTGGAAGTAGATTGGTTTTTTGAATATCTGGAGATCCCAGAGGGGGAAGAGTGAAACTGGTGGCATGTAGATTAAAGGCAAGAGCTTCTGCCTGGTGGAAAAGATTACAGGCCAGAAGATTTCTTAAGGGGAGAGCACTAGTTAGAACATGGTATAGAATGAAACAATTGTTACAAAGGGATTTTCTTTCTCTTGATTATTAGGGGTGTTCAAAAGTAGTTAACCGAACCGATTAACCACTTTTCTGAACCGAACTGGTTTTTCGGTTCGAGAAAAATCTCGAACCGAATTAGTTTGGGGGGAAAACGGGTTTTTCGGTTAACCGGTTTTCCGCTTTTTTTGGATAAAACTTATTTTTTTTTATTTTTTCCTAAATTAAATTGTAAACATAAACAATACATATCCAAATAAAAATTAAACATTCATACATATCCATTGACCACTACTAACAGTACATTAAAAATTGATACAAATAAAAGTCCAAAATGAAATAAAAATAAAAGTCCATAATAAAACAACAAAATAACTAAATAAGTCCCAATGGAAAACAACAAAAGAAATTGTGCAAATACAACTCCATAAGTAGAAAGCGGAAACCAACATTAAGTCAATACGAGTAGATCTCCCAATTTCTGCCCAAATAAAAATTAAATGTTAGAAGTTTATAAAAATTAAATCACATTTTTTTTCATTGGCTACAATAAAAAAACTATTAAAGAAATCAAACCTCAATTAAATTTTGCAAAACCTTCAATCATCAAGATGAATACGAGTAGTATTTCCCATTGCCGAAGACACAAATTCTACAAAAATAGGTCATATAAATAATGGTTAAATTCAAAATACAGTCAATAAATCCAATAAAGACAACATAATAACTAATAATTGAAAGTAAAGCAAAAAATTTACCTTACTCAAGCTCTGCTATCTCTTCCAAGCTCTCCTCAATCATGAATGGTTTACGTGTAGCCTGAATCCAATCTTGTGTACAAATAAGAGCCTCCACCATCTTAGGAGTGAGGGAGCTACGAAATGGATCTAATACATAACCCCAAATGCTAAACGCTGACTCAGATGCAACAGTAGAAACCGACATAGCCAACAGCTCTCGTGCTATCGAAGAGAGAACTGGATATCTATTTGAATTGACTTTCCACCAACTCAAGATATCAAACATCTTGTCCTTGTGACACTGCTCACATTCATCCTCTAAATATTTATCAATCTCAGATTTGGTCACCATAAATTCCTGTCCAGCCATTGCCTTATCGTACATACAATATATTAATTCTAATCAACATTTACATCTTCAACATTAACCTGACTTGCTTGTTGAGATTGTTGACTAGATTGCCCACTTGGAGAAGCATAAACGAGCTTGTATTGGTCAAATAGAGAGTACAAAGTTGTATGCACTTTTGTTTTCAAAAGTTTAGCATTAACATCATCATAGGAATTACTAATAACCCAATTCACATATCCTAACTTGAATCTAGGATCCAACACCACTGCAATGAATAACATTAAGTTGATGTTATCAATATTTGACTAATATTTATCATGTTTTCCCTTCATTCTCTTAGCCATAGTACTTAAGCCAACATCATTACTTCTACACCATGTTGAAATCTGCATTCCAATGGCAAAGATCTCGCGCATGTATGCATTGCCGGTAACAAAAAGTGAGCATGACACACGTAGAGTAGCATCATAGAAAACTTTCAAAAAAGGTAACAAGTAACAGACATACTCCCAATCACTAGGCGTAGGCAAACCCCTTGACTTTTCCCCTCTAGTAAGTTCATCTCTATACTTAATGTCTTGGATTTCCAACAACTCAAATGCTTTCTGAAATTTTAAAGCCATATCCAACATTAAGTACGTTGAGTTCCACCTTGTTTCTACATCAAGAACCAAAAGATTTTTTTGATCAATCTTTTCTTGCTCTACACACTCCTTAAACCTTTGTAATCTCGCTGGAGAAGACCTTACATATCTCACTGCAGAGCGAATTATAAAAATGGAGTCCTCCATGTCTTTTAACCCCATTTTTACATTGAGACTCAATATATGTG